TATATATATATATATATATGTATACACATATGTATATACTAAAGAGCTGACTTTGGGCCATTTTATATTAAAACATAATCATTTTTTCTTTGACGGATGATTGATATGACTGTAGTTCTAATAGTTTATTTCTCTTCATCCAATACTGAAAGTTGAGCAGCGTTTGTTGTTCTGTGTATTAAAACAGCATCAGATCTTAATTAGAAGAACAAAATGAAAATCAGACTGCCAGGCTTATTTACAGCTGATATTTTCACACAACAAAGCTTGTTTATTTTCTTGTTTATGGGTTCTCATTTTAATCTAAAATACAAAATCCCAACCTGTTTTGCATTGGAGGACGTCAACATGGTGAGGAAAACTCAGTAATAGTAATAAAGGTGTTAAAAAGGCCTTGAAATGGCAGATTGGATTTCCTAAAATGTGTGAGTGTTCCTTTAAGAAACTGAAACGCAGAGGTTCCACATGAATGTCAAGAACTGGTGGAACCAGAGGAACCCTGGAACCGGTTCCATGTTTCAGCTCCTTATGAAGTCAGAGGGGCCCCGAGGGACCGACGGATGACAACCAGCCGACAACACTTTGTTGTTGTGCACTCAGCTGGTTAACAGCAACCCCCCCTCACCTCCTCATTCTCTTCAGAGGTCAGAGGTCAGAGGGTGTGCGGGGTCTTCTGGAGACAGAGGACATTTCCACCAGTATGAAGTCAAATGTGTTTTCATCTGTTCAGATTTTATTCTTTTGTTTTCTGTTAATTACGGTGTCTAATATTGAGTATTCTTATTCCTTGAGTTCTTAATTAGTTTCATAACACACATTGGTTGATATCAGTCAAAAACACTAATTCTCCTCAGAAATCATTAAAATGTCACTTTGTTAAAAAACAAAGTGACATTTTTTTGTTTTAGAGTTTTGATGAAAACAGGAAAACACACAATAATTTCCCCTCTCCGATAAACTACACATCAAATAAATCACAATATCTTCAGGATTGATAACTGTTTTTGTTTTTACAATACTTTACTTTACATTTATATTTATTAACTCTTCTCACTCTGACGGCCTGCGGGCGGGCCGTCAGAGTGATAACTGCATATTTGTGCTATGCACACAACTGCCCTGTAACATGAGTATTAATGTGATATCTCATCAGAAAGCTACGGTTCTTGTAATTCGATTTCTGCAAACCATTTCAAGATACAATAACAACAGCAGGTACAGTTAACGTCTCTGTCAAACAAGCACTCCAAAAATAGCCGATAAAATATCGCCATGACTCACCGATTATGATTCATAACGTCCCCCTTGTGCATGCTAGTCCAGCAAAAACGGTATTGCTAGGTGGCTAAGGGTCCACTCGATCGAATCCAGTAAAAGATTTAGTCCAAAACACATTAGTACGTCCATAAAGACCCACGGGGGGCTGTTGCATCATTTCAAATTAGCCAGCAGATATGATAACTCCGATCATATTTCGGCCATAACTTCACGTTCCATGTCAACAGAGCGGAGATTTTGATCGCAAAATGGAGCCTACATTCCGCCGGTTAGATTGACACCTCATTTGACCCAATAGGAGCTTCTATAGCCCGCCCACAGTCTGGAACAGCCAACGAGAGTCCGCTTTGAAAGACAATGCCCGCCTCACTTCTTTGGGTAAAGTTCGAGCCAATCGCAACAGATCCTGTTCAAACTCAGGCTCCACATAGCCAATGAAATTACGAAGCCAGGGATATGCAGATTTATCAGATTGAATGCTGGGAAAGTTTCTAACCTGAACTGGAAACCATGAGTCAAGTTCCTGGGACAGAGCATGAAGACTAAAGTCTGGTTCTTGAGAATTTTCAAGAATCTGTGAAAGTTGGTAATGGTTAAATATGATATAGTTAACTACGCATTGACATAAATAAACTGTAGTTTGAATTTCGAACACGTAGTTTATCGTAGTATATGCATTTTGACGTGGTGACGGGAGCTGCACTCTTCGTGAACCACGTGTAAAATATTAATTTTCTGTTGTATTGTTATCAAATTTTAACTTATTCTAGGCGTCCTGACTGTTGGCTGTGGAATGAGAGTCTCTTCAGGCCTGTCAGTCCCAGCCATAGATAGCTGCTGCCATCTGTTGGCCAAAACAAATCTAGGCGGAAGTAAAATGCTTCTCTTTCACTGTGCTGAAAACGCATTAGCTCAATGCTAGTAGCACTTACGGTGATTCTGACTGTTTGTGAAGAAACTTCAGTGTTGCCGTTCAATAAAGACTAAAACCATACATGTACTCCCAATGGTTCAATAAGAGCTGTCAGTTTACTTTGGGTACGCGGTGGATAGGCGTTTTAGGCAAATTATGCAGGAGTGAGAAGAGGTTAACGTCTCACTTCTATAACATTTCCGGTCTTAAGAAGAAAAGTATCGGAGCAGCAGAACCAGAGATACCCTCCTTAATCTCATCCCTTCTTCTTCGCTGTCAAAACCTGGCGCCTACGTTTCCCATGATGCAACTCCGCTTGACAGTTGGGAAGGAGGGAGCTTCCGGTCCGTTTAGCTGCTAGTGGCGATTAGCCTTTAGCTTAAATGAAAAAAAGAAGAATAAAAGGATAAACTCTTTTCTTGATTATTTTATTATTTTCAAACGTATGAACTGATTCACAATCTGCACCGTCACGGGTTCATTCTGTCCGCAGTCAAATCATCGAGTGTTTGAGTCTCTCGCAGACATTTTAAGCCCTTTAAGTCAACGATAGATGCAGACTTTACCCACAATTCATTGCAATGTGACGTTAAACACGTGGTAACCAGTGTTTAAAAAAAGGTAAACAAAGAGGACGACACGTGTGTTCAGCCTGTATTTAAATGTATAAAGTAACATTAAGGATTAAAGATGGAACAAAAAAAAACCCACATTATCAGAGCATATTTATTTATTAATTATCAAATATTTGATTTCGTTATTGAAGCTGTTTTGACAAAAAACAAGTAAATAGATGATCTGAAATGACCTCATCTTGTGAGGAAAGAGCCTGGAAGACGTTTAAATCAGGGAGGACATAGTATCAAATAAATACACACTATTGTACATCAATGGTTCAGGGTTTGAGGCTTTACGGGGACTCAAAGGCGCCATCTTGTGCCCTGTCTTCTTATATAATAAAGTTTATGGTCGTGGACTTGTGATGTGGGAGGAGCTAAGAGCTCCACACGCGAGGCTGAAGTCCAGCTCAGAAGTAAAAGCTCTGAGAACACAGTTTCATTCACACGTCACTCACAGCTTTGACTCGGACGACAAAAACCCCGAAGACAACAGATCCGAGGTCAGTGGTTCATTCACGACGAGGCAATGCAGAGAGTTAATGAAATGAGATGTTTGACCTGTTGCATTCCAGTAGAAGCAACTTCTCTGTCTCTATAACTGTTAAATGACTCCTTGAGAGAGTTCACTTTAATGCTAGCGGTAGAATGTAACTCATAATAATAATAACAATAACTTTATTTATATAGCACCTTTACAAAGTGCTTTCACAGACAAAGCAGCAAAAACAAGACAATAACAACAATAACAGAAAGCTCAGTGAGACAGTTTATACGATAAAAATAAACAAATAAATAAGTAAAATAATTAAAATATATATATATATACTAAAATAATTTACTAAAATCAACAAATAAAAATAAAACAGAAAAGCAACGACATCACATAAAAGCCAGTCTGTAAAAATGTGTTTAAGAAGTGAACACTACAAATGTGTACTTTGGCCCAGCGTACACCACTCCAAAAAACACTACAAATCTGTGCAATAGAAACGCACTGTGCAATAAAAATAGCCTGTCTGTATATATAATATTTTAGTTCTTTAGTTATACTTAGTTACTGTGGATTTTGTACTTTCTGACTGAGTTGATATGTTTACTGTTTATTACTTATTTACTTATATATATTACTTGTTGCTCTTGTTTTGACTCTGCATCTCGTTGCCCTGTCCACCATGCTGCTGTGATCCTGTGCATTGCCCCACTGTGGGACTAATGAAGGATTATCTCATCTCATCTTACATGAGTACGTTTACATTCCACCACCGGGTAAAGTTACAATAATTTTGAAAATGAATTACAAGTAATTAAGTAGTTATAATAGTTCATCATACTTTATAGGTTGATGTGTCTTCTGTATTAATAATCTGAACCTGTAAAAAAACAATGTAGCGAAGAAGTATAAAGTAGACATACTCAAGTACAAGTACCTCAACATTTTACTTGAGTAAATGTACTGCAGATTATCATTTTCATACAATACATATAATCAATTTATAACACATCATACACTGTTATAGATTAAACTACCCAACAGGGTTTAATGTAGTAAAGTGTAGCTCCACTTTGTGAAACAAGTGTCGTTTGAAGGTTGAAGAATGTCCGTATAGAGAGGCTAAGTCATGTTTCTGTGTCCCCCATCGGACTTTTGACTTGCAAAATTATATTTTAATTAACACACATCATATGTGTAATTCATGGAATAACTTGTAATTAGTTTTTTGCCGTACATATTTATCCCAGAATAAGGTCCCACAGTGGTCCATAGAAGGGGGCGGGTTAGGACACAGGGCCTCAGAAAGGCTCTCTTTCTATAAAACGAATGGACCGGATCACAATCAGCTATGTATGTGTGTTTGTATACATACATGGAATGTGACTCCAGTTTTCACATTACTCTCAACGTACATGCATAGAATATACAAGCAAACAAGAAAAATGTAAAAAGAAGGACATCAAAGTAGAACAGAGAAACTAAGCATAAACATTTCACATTTAACTTCTATGTGCAATATAAATATATGTCTGTGTCTATGTCTGTGCAAATAACATTGGTTTTAGGCATTTGGACAAAAAGATGAATAATAGTTGAATTTATTAAGTATAACTTTCCGGTTAACTGGATTCACCATCTTCCAATATTAGGAAATCAAGTGTCCTCTCTTCCCTCTCGTGGTATCGGTCCAGTCCAACAGTTTCAGTGTGATTATTTGATCATATCTGTCTCTGGGTGTTTAGTGTCTCAGTTCAGGATGGACAGGAAGCAGTGCTGTGTGAAGCTGTCCGTCCAGCCGTCCAGAGGGCTCATGGACGAGAAGTTCATCGTCCTGGTCCAGAACGTCCTCCCTGGTTCCCAGCTGACCGTCTACGCCTTCTACCAGTGTGAAGGAGGACACAGCTGGGAGGCGTTCGCTCACTACACCGCCAACGCCGCCGGGACTGTGAACGGTACGCGGTTCAATACCTAGACCGGGAAAATGAAACAGGAAATGTTTGCAAGCGTCGTAAAGTTTCATGCAGCAAAACGCAGTTTGTTATAAAATGATGCAACGGTTTGGACAGAATGAACATCGAGATGAGAAATATTTCTTCATGCCTTCTACTTCAGTTTCTGAGGATCCCAGTCTGGGAGGGACCTATTCTGGGGTTGAACCGATGGGTCTAATGTGGAGCTTCAGACCAGTTCCAGGCAGCAAACCTGGGCTCAGGTAGGCCAACAAGGATAGAGCTGTTCAGATGAAACCAATCAATACTGAACCAGTATCAGAGTCGACTCTTTCCCATCATCCCTCAGGATGAGGAAGATGAACGTCCAGACTCCCATGGAGGTCACAGTCTCAGTGTACCAGGGTCACCTGACTGAGGGCTTCGTGGACCAGGTGCCGCTGGCCGGTGTGGTGGTGGAGCGCTGGTACATGGCGCCCGGCGTCCGCAGGATCCCGATTACAGAGGGCGGACTCACAGCGACCCTCTTCCTCCCCTCAGGTAGGACCAGAACAGAGTCTGGAGGAAGTTGTCGTCTGGGTGGAGCTCTGGTGTGACGTGGATGAACATTAACCATGAAAGTTAACCAAGTTCAGCTTTAGAGAAGAACATCACCAAAAAGAGTTTACACGATGATGATATTGTTTATTTCTGTTTTGTCTGGTCTGAAGGTCCGGGTCCGTTCCCCGGCCTCCTGGACCTGTGGGGGGGTGGAGGGAGGTTGGTGGAGTATCGAGCAGCGCTGCTGGCCTCCCACGGAATCGCCTCCCTGGCCCTCGACTACCTGACACCTAAAATCACCAAGGACACCGGGAAGATGGTGGACACCGAGTATTTTGAGGTAAAACTGACGTAAAACACGTTCATGCAGAACGTACAGACTTTGTTTCTATCGTCATCACCGATTGCACACGCACGTCTCCTAACAGTGCAAATAGTGTTCGCCCATTCATCAACCTCAGGGTCACACACAGGATCTTAGAAATACTGAGAACATGTCGGAGCAAGTGAAGAGACCCGATGAAATGAAATGTTATTCACACTTTCTCTCCTGTGCTGTTGTATTTGGTTTCACTACACAGTGGTGTAGCTGGTCAGTGTTCTCCACTCCACCAGGAATTAAATGTTAGGGAAGGGTTTTGTTGAATCGGTTTTTTTTTATCATTCATTTATATATTTCTTTAAAAAGATCGGAGGCAAACCAGTTTGGGCTCTGCGCTCGCACATTGCCACGTGAGCACCGCGTGTGAACTTTTCTAAAGGCGTGAGCCAAGAGGCATGTCGGTGTATCGCACAGAAATTCTGAGTGAGAGTCCCAAAGCTGCACGAGGGACAGAGCGATATGCGTCCTTTATTACAATGTAGCAGTGGTCCAGTGTGTTTTTGTCCCTGGTGCAGTTCTTTGCTGAGGTTTGCTCTGTTGAAGTCCCCAAGAACAATGAGCAGGGAGTCTGGGTGTTTGTGCTCCATGTTGGTGATCTGCTCAGCCAGGTGTTGGAGCGCCTCACTCACACAGGCCTGGGGTGGGATGTAAACACCGACCAGAACGAGTGAGGAGTACTCCCGTGACATCTGTACACCAACCTTCGTTATAATAGAAGCAGATTTCGGGAGGCGGAATCTGCTTCTATGTTAACGAAGGTTGGTGTACAGATGTCACGGTGTTAAAGGAATCATGCAGCCCGACAACACAGCAAGTTGTGTCGTGTGACCCGTACGGCGATTTCTCAACTTTGAAAGTCGTGTAGTGTGAACTTGGCTTAAGACAAAGCAGCAAGTCCTCATAATTTAGAAGCTCTAAGCTGATATAGTTTGACATTTTGCTTCAAAAACAGCTTAATCGGTTCAAAAAGTAAAACCTGAACATAAGCTGATATTAATTGTTTTAGATCGAACTGTTTTTTTCTTCACCAACAATCTCCACGTGCATCAAAAGCCTTTTAGGAGCAGCTTGTTCTTGTTGCAACCTGCATCTCGGTGATCATTTATTTTAGGTGTGAGACACACAGTCAGGTTCATGTTGAGCTATGTAGTTAGAAGTCTTTTCTGCACACACCAGGATGTGAATCTGTTATCTTTGTGTTTATAGATCAATAAACCATTCAACACAGAACAAAGGTTCATTCACCTTTCACAGATCAGAGACGAGTGTTGTAATTAAAGATAACTGGAGGAAGTCGTAATGTTTGTCCCTTCATGGACCGCAGGATTTTAGAAATACTGTGAAGAGACCTGAACCTGATTAACATTATAATTATTATTATTACAACATGTCCACTAAACACAGGGCCTGACCCTTGAAGGCTTTGATTTATTCAATAAACTCTCCACATCAAAGATGTATCTCAAGTGGTGTGATATATTCATACATGTTCACTAGGTCGACACTTGGCACCGGGGTTTGTTGGCTGGAGGAAGGAAAGGTTTGTGATTATTCCAAAAAAAATCACAAATTATGAATTTGTCTCAGACGGCTCGACACCCTCTATCCTCAGACCCTCGGGTCAGATCAGCAACAACTCCACAGACAAAAACGTTTAATAGAAAAAACAGATCAATCTGAGATAGAAATTCTCTCTTCAAGACCAGATGTGCGAATTCTGTTTTCAAGACGTAAATGAGACAAATATCAGCTGACTGACAGTTTTCAAAGGAGTCAAAGGTCACACCCAGATTACAGCAGCCTGTAAAGTACTGAGACATCACGAGAGCTGGTTTATGGAAACGTGTTGCCAATTAACAATATTATTTCAGGTTTACTTTCTAAAGCTTGACAATAACAGCATAGATACGTTACACTTTCCATTCGGTTCCATGTGTGAAAATACTATAAATATAGCTTACACTTAAACTGATTTTGATTTTTTAAAATACATTTTGCTGCTCCTGCCACTGAACTATCCCTTTAAACATAGAGGTCAGATCTCATGTATGTGTACGATGATACTACTACTGTTTTTAAAACCAATCTACCAATGATGTGTGACACCTTTCTCTGACATGTTTCTCTGCTGCAGACGGCCTACAGAGTCCTGGAGCAGCATCCTCAGATCCTCAGCAGCAGGATCGGCATGTTGGGCCTTTCCTTCGGCACCAGTATCACCTTTAGATTGGCGGTTTACTCCCAAGTAGTGAAGGTAAGACGGCTATAACAGAGTTACTGTCGTCATCTTGACGCAGCTTAATGTGTCTGGTTGAAGTCATAGACTGCAGACATGTTCGGGGCTTCTGTTTTATGTAGTTATTCTGCTAATGCATGTATAGTCTCTATAGAGGTGATAAACCAGGTGTTTGTTTCTGCTGTAAAGTTTTGCATTTTAACTTGGAGGTCTATAAAGATCAACTCTCTTCAGGAGCCTCAAGTGACCATTTGACCTGTGTACTTTTTCTGTTCCGTGTCACTTTGTGGTGGAAGAAACTATTCAACAGTACCGAGTGAGTCCTCTGGTACTGAAATGAAGAAACATTGAGAAAAGAAGTTTGTCTTTAAAGTATTTATTCTCTGCGCAGAGAAGATTCAATCGTCGTACAGAATGCAATGCGGTCTGAAGGAGGAAGAACCCAGAGGGTTGGTTGTGTACGACTCATAAAGGGAGTTCATCACTAGGACATCTGGACAACAGGGACCTCTCAGTGGTCAACCATTGAATGGTCCACTGATTGCATCCCCATTCAGCCCCTTATCAAAGCTGACAACATCATGCCCCTGATTAAGACACACACCTAATATTACTCAACCTGAGAGGACCCTCAGTGACCATGTCTGACATTCATTCACCTTACTAAAACAAAAAGGGCCAAAACACTGAGTGGTCACAATATAAAAACAGATAAGTCATAGTGGAAATGTGCTATCACACTTATTGGATCTTTCTTGTCCTTTATCATGAGTTCAGATATCAGGTTTCAGTCTCAGCTGATCATGTGTAAACCTGTGTGTGAGTGTGTGTGTGTGTGTGTGTGTGTGGTCTCCCAGCTCAGGTGTGCAGTGTGTATTAGTGGGAGTCATGTGCAGCCGATCGACGGATCTATGGAACAAATATTGGCTTTCCTTAACAAGTAAGTTGATCTGACTTCAGTTACTTTCAGAATTTCTTTGTTCAACCACTCAACTACTAACGGTCAGATTGTCGTTAAATGTGCTGATGACTTTCCTGCTCCCCAGAGAATGAACCTTAGGTTCCAATGACGCCGTGATCTTTCCTCTAGCGCCGCCCTCAGGACAAACTATCTATCCCTTTTGTCCTCTCAGAAATAGTGATAAGACTCGATTCAACGAGGAAAACCATGTGATCTGGCGAGATCTGCTGCTGCCCATCCCCACCGACCCCTCACTCAAAGTGGACGTGAGTACCACCAGACAGAACCTTTACTGCGTTTGTTATTACTTATTTGTTAGTGTGAGTTTGGGCTTTATTTAATCGTACAATATTTTCCAGCAAGAACTAAACCATGAACATTGCAACTACCACTTAATCACTCAACTACCGTACCAGCCCATAGTATCTTTTTGTTGCTTCTTACAACTAATCAGGTGGACAACTGTTTCATGTTGCCTCTCTGTGTGTCTTCTGAGTCGTATTTTGATTTTCAAGTTGATAAAAATAGGGAACATCTCCAAAATCAACAGATAAATGCCACTAATTCCACATGTGTTGGCAGGTGATGCAGAAAACATTTGTTGTGCAAGATTAAAAAGGTGTAATTCGACATTTTTAGAACAAAAGCTTTTTGCTCCTTTGAGTAATAGATTTCTGACAGCTGTCGTAGTTAATGGTGCTCAATACGAAATTCAGAACATATCTATTGCCTCCACGCCGCTCTCAACATGGCGATGGCTGAGCCGGCGGCTAACGGTGCTAACAACAACAACAACAACCGTTTTGGAGACGGAGCAGCAGCTTGGAGTACAAAAGAAAATCCTAAGAACTGAAGTATTTGTGAATGAATTCTAGTCCTGAGTAATATCTCCACAGGTGACCGCAGGGGATGAAAGTCTAAACTGGAGGTTTATGTATGAAAGCTGAAACGCTGCTGCTGTTTGTGTCTGAGCAGGTGGGACGTCTCCAGTGTCCTCTGCTGCTGGTTGTGGGTGAGGACGATCAGAACTGGCCCGCCTACGAGTCTGCAATGGACGTGAGTTTACTGACATGACGGCATATTATATATATGTGTATATGTATATGCATATACAAAGATGTATATATATGTGTGTATATATTTATATGTGTGTGTGTGTGTACATATATACATATATACACACACATATATACACGTAAATATATATATATATATATATATATATATATATATATATATATACAAATATATATACATGTAGGTATGGATATATACAACGGCCAGGGAGTGCACATTTGTAAAAGAGGAAGACGGTTTAAATCATGAGAGACGATCTTCTTCTACTTCCTGTTGTCCAGATGAAGGAGATGATGCAGCGGGCGGGGAACGAACACCTGCTGACTGTCCTGTCGTACACGAACGCCGGTCACCTGATCGAACCTCCATTCACGCCGTTCGCCCGAGCCAGCAACTTCAAAATAGTCACCCCCCAACTTCAGACAGGTAGGTGCACCTTCACGGGGTTCCTGCCGCTCCTTAAAGTGTCCTGAAAGATCTTATTTGTAGTCATGGTTTGAAATCTTAGGTGATGTCTAGATTTCGATTGGTTCTCAACAGGCCTCCTGCTCTCACGAAGGTAACGGGATTAAAGAAGCACACGAAAGAGGACAGATAATGCTAAGCTAAAGACAGTTGTCCAGAGGGGTTCAGAGAAGAACACAAAGTTATTAATAATAAGTTAATATTAAGAATCTGGATGATGTGTTTTTTCGTGCGGAGCCACAGCGGCCAATGTGCGACATGAAGGAGAGGAGCTGACTTTTAGTTTAGAGACGGCTAAGCTGTAGATTTAGTGCACGGTTCAGGTGGATGAGCGGTAGACTCACTGTATGTGTCTTAATGTGGTGCATGAATTAATACCGACTCTGTGAGAGCGAGATGACTTGAGTTTGGAGGTTGGACGGCTGTTTGAGTTGCCTGTTGTCTTTGCAGTAATGGTTCTGTGGGGCGGAGAGATGGTGGCACATTCTCGCGCTCAGGAAGACGCCTGGAGGAAGACGCTGGTCTTCCTGAGGGAGAATCTGTACGGCGGCTCAAACCCTGGTGCTACTTCATTTTCCAACCTGTAACCAAGTCAACACCTGTTGGTTATAAAGTCTCTAACTGGGAAGAGCTACTTCAGGAGCCTCTGGTTCAGGAAGTAAACGTCTTGTTCATTTATCCTCGTAGATAATATTACGTAACTCACGTTTCATGCTTTGATTGACATGAGTCAGTACAAAGGATGAATAACTGGTAATAATATTAAAGTTTAATTATTTATTTTCTAATTACAATGTGCTTTTATCATCATCACTTCATTCACTATTGCTTTAGTCCAAAGCGTCCAAAAACACTTTACTATGATTACTATGATAGAAAACAGAGAAAACCATCAGCACCTCACACTGGAGAAGCCGACCGCCGAGAATTGTTGAGAGTTTTTGATCAATAAATGATCAAAACGTATTTACATTTTCTGAGGATCGATTCATAAAGACAGAGATCTGTTTTGTTTTTTTATCCTGCGTTCTGTCCTGATGGACCATCATTGCATTAATAATGTACAAAATGAATAAACATGTGTCTGTGAATCACTTGTCTACAGTTACAGATTCTCACACATTAAATTCCTCTGCAGAATTTTACTACACTTCAAACTCACTAAAATATCATTTCTGCAAGAATTAGCTGAAGCGTATTATTAATATCATCACATTTCATATTATCTTCTCCCCCATGTGGATGTGATAATGTGGTCCGTGAGTGAGTGAGTTTGCACCTCTGTGTCTGTCCGCTAACAACATAATATTTTGGATCCCAGCTACTTGACCTCTTGTGGTTCTCAGGGTTCTCCGCCCTTCTCTAGTTATTTTAACCCAAACAACGATTTTTTCTCGTTTTTTTTTCTAACAAAGTTTGTTCCTGTAAAGATGAAAGTTCATTTTGAAAAGGCGGTATGCATGAAACGACCGGAAACGTGTTTCTGACACATGAAAATAAGAAGTAATTTATCTTCAAATATCATATGAATCGTGGAATGACGATATGTTTTACTGCTACGTACACGACCAGACACTCGCTAGCATTACGCACACTAACTACGCTAAACCTACGAGTGTGTGTTGTTAAACTAAAATGTGTTGTACAAGTAGCCATTTAAAATAAAATAATGTTTAGTCCTGGACAGAAGATTATGATTTTGTCGGACCTGTGAAATAAAGTCTTTTCAGAGCTTATGAATAATGACTTTTCCAACTCTTGAAAAGAGATGATGAAGAATTACTTTATTAATAATTAATAATCCCACTTGCACTTTACAAGTATGACACACCACACCTGGCCACGTCCAGCTGTGATGTTAGAGAAGTTCATGATACTTAAACCTTTCAACATAAAGGTGAGTGCACCAGTACTTTCCTTCCACACAAGATCCAAATGTACTTTGACTAAATCTGGAGTTTTGAATACCTGGAGGAAGACGCTGGTCTCTCTGAGGCTGAATCTGTACGGCGGCTCAAACCCTGCAGCGACCTCATCATCGCACCTGTAACACCGAGTCTGGGCTGCCGTGCTGTACCATCACTGCCTGTACATTTAGGAAATACAAAATGATTGAATCTGTGGTAAGATTGAACATTGCTGCTAGTCTCATGAAAATCATGCTGATGGTTTAACCGTCGTGACCCGTTCAGAGTTACAGATTCTGAGCTTTTAAAGGGCCGGTCTGGTGGTTCAGCATGTTTTAATCCGTCATAATGACATTGATCACAGGCAGCCATTTGCTTCACTGTATTTGTCAATATCAATTCTATTATTTTTGGACAAATATGTGTTATTGTTATGTGCTGTTGAAAGCAGAGAAGGTTTCAGCCGCTGGCAACAAAGTTCATAATCTTATCTCATCTCTTCAGCCGGCTCTCAAACCCGAGAGGTCAGCGTCCTGTTTTCCAACAGTTTTTTGGGAATTGTTATCATTATTTACCACATACCTGAAGCGGTACAGTTGGCCTTCAAACTTTAATGTAACAATGGATCAAATAGTGTCTGGTCCTCCGCATGAAATATTACAGCCTGGTGAGACTGAAGCTCTGGTTTATGTATTTCATTAATAAACAACAGATCCTTTGGAATATACCAATAAATATGTAAAGAATACTACATGATGGCTGTTTTTGCTAGTGCATCAGAGAAAATGTAAAAAGTGTTGTGTGTTGAACTGATATAAACTTAAATCTTTAAAATGTAATTCTTTTTTTTGTATATTTTCTGAAGCTGGTGGACACAAAGTGAAGCGGTTTGGGGCGTGGCTTAGGTGTGTGACGCGTCTGTTTATTCTTAACAGGCGACAACCTCCGGTTCTGTCGAGTGAAGCCAATGCTTCATGTGTTAAAGCTGCATTCTCTCTAGTGTCCACCAGGGGGCGACTCCTCTGGTTGTGTAGAAGTCTATGAGAAAATGACTCTACTTCTCTCTTGATTTATTACCTCAGTAAACATTGTAAACATGAGTTTATGGTCTCAATCTCTAGTTTCAAGTCTTCTTCAATACAGCATGATGTTCATTTAGTACATTATGGTCCATTTAGAGTCACACAGACCATAAAGCAGGGGATGCTTTTTAATAAACAATTCAAACACCTTTAAAAGTTTCCACCGCTGACTTTTCCTGCATCTGCATTGGTTAGATCTGACTGAAGTTTTTTGTCTGTATCAATATGATAATAATCAATAATAACAAATAATGAATTTAACTATAATAATAAAACATATGACAATAATAATAATGATAATAATTAAATACATATGGCATGTGAGTATTATTTTAATTTGAGTATCATGAGTTTTATGAGTATTATTTTAAGACATGCTTAAGACCACTTATTAATGTTCAGTATTCTATTACAATAAAAAAAATCAGACCAGTGACTCTTTAAATTGCATCAATAAACGTCAGTAGATGGAGGTCTTTGCTGAAGCGGCGGTTTGCGTGTAGTTGCGCAGTTTGTCCGCTGGGGGGCGACCTGCCTCCATCATCTGCGCTGCTTCACCTCTCAGCATGCAGCCTCTCTCTCTCTGACACACTGCGTGATCAAGCTCATTAACTTCATCTGTCTCTGCGCGAGCCGCACACACACACACACACTCACACACACACACACACACACACACACACACACACACAAACGCGCGCGCGCTTTCTCCTATAGGACGCACTTTCCTCTCCATCAGGACCTGGATCATCCCACCCTAGGACCCCTAGACCGGCTCTGTCACCGGGGGGAACTTGGATGCGACCCTCAGACTCCCCATCAGCCTGGACTCGGGTGGTGTGATGAGCGCGAGAGCCTTCCGTGTTTCCTGTGACGCAGGACAGCCGCGCCGCACCGCACCGCACCGCACCGCGCACTTCGGAGAGCTGCGAGAAGCGGAGAAAAAGAAAAGAAGCGCGTCCGTGACTTCGGTCCTCTGTAACATCCCGACCCTGATGTGAAGATGTCTCTGCCGTGCAGCGACCAGTCTGGCGCACTGCTCTGAGAGCGACCAGTGCGGTCTGTGCGAGGAGAGGAACCCGGGATCCGGAGCATCACCCCCCCGGCTGGGCGGCGGGCGGAGTCGAACCGACACCTGCAGGTGAATCCGGAGCGTCAGTTAAAACCTGCAGTTCAGAGGAATTTACCGCTTCTCATTCCGGATCGTGATCTCCAACTAGCGGGGACAGAAAAAAAAGTGGATTTTAAATACATTTGTATTTTTTTTAATCTATTTTTTGGTTGATGGGTGCTGATGCGGAGCCCGATCGAGTTCCGGGCGGAGGAATTCAGAGGGAAATGTTTGTGTGATGTGACAAACAGCTGGAGACAGAAAACATTTCTCTGACCTGTGACACCGAGGGAGGAAACACCTGCTTCTTCTGCAGAGAGGAAACAAAAAAGGTACCTGAACACATCACGCAGCATTCACAATTCACAGGATCAATCAACCAATCAATGATCAATTAAAGAGCTGACTGCAGATTATTAAAACAGTTTATTTATCTGCGTTGTTCTTGGTTTATTGGGATGGGACTATGTTGTATACGAGCTCTCACTGTGACATAGTGCAGATTATTATTTTGTCAATCAACCAGTAAAATCAATCAATCAATTAGTTCGTTGACCAGTCGCCTGTAAATCAATAACGAGGCACTCAGACTGCTGTACGTGTGTCGTGTGTTTCGCCTGGTTTCAGATCAGATGAATCATTTCTGACATCAGCTGATTCTGCTGGAATGTAACTTGAGCTCGCGCTGTTTCGCTCGTGCGCGCGTGTGTTTAAGAAACTGAACCGAATGTTTGTGTTCGCGCGCACTCATGAGGGTGGGATGCATTCGTGCCCGAGTGCGCGCAGTTGTGCTTGAGATCGTAGTGTAGGCTACGAATTTTATTTTATTCAGCGCGTGTGTAAACGTGGAGTGTAGCACGAGGCATATGTTATACATGTGTTTGCCTGTGTGTGTGTGTGTGTGTGTGTTTGATGAATCATATTTTAGATTTGAGATGTATGTGGGAAGAAGAAAGTATGAAAAAGATGAGATAAGAAAGAAACTCACAATGTAACCCTCTGTTTAAATAGACTACATGGCCAAAAGTATGTAGATACCAGACCTTTCTTTTGGCTCCAGTTAGTCACTGAGGTCAGGGACAAGGATGGCTAAAAAATAAGCAGCACCAAGGTTTGTTCCACCACCTTGTAATCTTGTTATAATAATACAAATAAAACATGAAATTTGGCCAAAAAACAGGAAATGATGTGCCAGAGCTTCCCAAGAAATAGGACTCCAATCTGCCGCGTGGTGGCACCGTAATGAACGACCAAAAGCGCAGGTTCTTTGTTTACACAGTTTTTTCTTCAGTGCTCTATTTTTGTTTTAAGTACAATGAGAGAGATGCAAATTCCTTCTACGTGCACAAACACTGGGCCAATTAAAAATGTAGTTTTCATCTACGCAACACCACTAAACTGTTGTTGATTTGTGTGCCCTCATTTCTGTTATATGCTGCTTTTAATTTCAATTCTTTAATTTAATACACCTTTAAACTCTAATATGGTGCATGTCTAAGTGCAGATAAGATTTAATCAACAGAACAAGTTGCCAAGAGGTTAAGTCTGATGGGATTACTCACTGCAGGGGACTGCTGATTGGCCACTGGAGGAAACAGCATTCCTGTGAAAGTCACTCAGTGGTGCATGAAGCCGGAAAAAAGTTTGTCTTCTGGGTATGAAACTACCCAGATCTTCCACATTGATGGGCCCAGAGAGTCAGCGCTCTATCGTTTCCTTTAACCCCGCCTCCCAGACGCTCTGTCTCGGGCTCATTCCCACAAATGGGAGTTCATTATAACTCTATTAGTGCATTTTACAACTTTTAGGACATAATGTTTATAATAACGACTATGTGCTCATACTGGGAAGTTGATTAACCTAAATAAAATAAAAATAAAAATCCGCTGTCTCTTTCACAATGTAAGTCTATGGGGGATTTATGTTTTTGGTGGAGAACATGAATGTCTCCACCAAATGTGGTGCCAATCCTTTAGATGTTGAGATGTTTCACAAGACAAGGGAAAACTTTGACCTGCCGGTGGCGCTAGAGGGAAAGTCAAAGGATCACCAAAGTTAATAGAATTCATCCTCTGGGAACCATGAATGTCTGCACCAAATGTGGTGTAAATATATAACACATTCTTTGGATTTTTCTGTTGCAAAAAAGAAAAATTGTATAACAGTATGACACTCAATACAGAGAAAAATAGCACAAAGTTTTAACACATGTCTCCATGATCGATACAAGAGGTGCCAAACCATCCGATTTATTCCACGTGTTGGAATCCCCCCCCCCCCCCTCCCGATCAGAGACAGTTGGTCTGTTCCACTTCCTGCTTGTAGAGCACAAGAGGCCATTTTAACTGATGATGTGTCTTGATTGAGGAGTCGAACATGAAGCCAGGAAACAACCAGGTAAAAAAAGAAAAAGAAGGTAGTTCCACCATAAACTGTTGATTCAACTCTTGTTTGTGTTCAACTTAAATTAGAAGATGAAACGTGTGACTTTATGAGAAATATTTCAACGGAAATTAATCAAAGTTTGGGTAGAAACGTCAAACATCTTAAGGTAAGTAAAAGAAAATGACCTCACAGTCGACATTAATAAGATCCATACATGCCATGTTTGAATGGAAGCGTACAAAACAGAATGCTGGAGACCCTGAAATGCTTATATTCTCTGGTTTATTGATCACATATTGATTATTTCCTCCCCGGTCTGGATCTCCCAACAGGTTTCAGGAAGAATGTGAAACTGGAGCCGCTGAGACCGCCAAGCTCCGTCTCCTCGTCTGCAGACCGCCATGTCCGACACAGGAACCTGTACCGCAGGACAACTCCCGGGTCAGTGTTCGTAGGTGGGACCGCCCGCCGTGGTTGACCCTGCCCTGGGGTGACGGGGGGACCCCCATGGTCTGGCTTGTCCCGTTCTTCCACACCACTCCAGCAACCGGCGCCACCTACCTGCTGATTGTGCGATCACACCACCGCTCCCTCTCCCCGCAGCTCGACTCACAGGACAATGGCGAGGGGCCTGAAGCCCCCGGGTGTCACGGGCCACTGCGTCCTCTCCCTGCTGATGCTGAAGAGCTGCTGGCTGCTCGGCTCAGCCGCCGCTGCCGCCCAGAAGCCCGGCGTGCTGGCTGACTCCCAGCAGACCCTGCCGGACTTCGGCCACTCCATCCGCCTGGATGGTGATGTCATCCTGGGCGGCTTGTTCCCTGTGCACGCTCGCGGCGAGAGGGGCGTCCCCTGCGGCGAGCTGAAGAAAGAGAAGGGCATCCACCGGCTGGAGGCCATGCTGTTTGCCATCGACCTCATCAACAAGGACCCGGAGCTGCTGCCCAACATGACGCTCGGCGCGCGCATCCTGGACACGTGTTCGCGCGACACCTACGCCCTGGAGCAGTCGCTCACCTTTGTGCAGGCGCTCATCGAGAGGGACGGCTCCGACGTCCGCTGCGCCAACGGAGACCCGCCCATCTTCGCCAAGCCGGATAAAGTGGTGGGCGTCATCGGGGCGTCGGCCAGCTCCGTGTCGATCATGGTGGCCAATATCCTGCGACTGTTCAAGGTAAGAGAACGCCGCCGGGTGACTGTTGAATCGGTGCGGTTGCTCCCGTACTGCAAACAAATCTTTCTTTTTCTACTCTTGTTGGATCCAATGAGTCCGGAATGTGTCACTTCTCTTGCAAATTATGTTGCACCCAATCAGGACAGTCTAGTCCGTCTCAAGATAAGATTGTCACACAGGAAGTTTGTCTTTCAAAGGGGCAGTTGACCCTAAAAAAAATATGTTTTTCCTGAAACCTGAAGTTCTTTTTATGAATCTAGATTGTGAGTGTTTGACATATTGTTTTTCCTTCTCTCTGTTATAATGGAACTAGATGGCACCACAAGCCGAGTGCCATAGTTCCATTTTATTAGATAAAAGGCAGACCTCTCTACAGTCTATCTCCGACACTCGGCAACTCAAACCAAAACAATCTAGATTGATAAACAGCTCTGCAGGTCAGAGGAAACAATTATGTATTTTTGATTTTGGGGTGAACTGCCCCTTTAAGCTGCAAAGGGAGAGGGAGAGAATCCTCACTCTGGGACTGTGCCTTTTTAAAAAAACGTCCTACTGTCACCACGTGACAACCTCCTGTTACTTCTGCTGCAGCAGATGTGGAGAAGAAACGAGCGGTTTTAACCCAGACAGGGTGTTATATCTTTATTTATCAGAGTGAGAGGACCACTGTTTGTTTTCTCCGTCAGCATAAATCTGGTGTTGATTTAAAAACAATCCTGAAGCTGCTCAAGTGAAAACGGAAAAGAGGTTGTTTTTTTTTTTCTTTGGAGGTGACGCTCTCACACAACATGAACAAACCGCCCGTCGGCTGTCATCCGTAGAAAAGGCGCCGTGACCTTTTTGTCTGTTAACTTGTAGCTCAGAAAACGGGTTTGAGTTACAGAGCGTTCCTTTTTAAAATGACAATTTTCACTACGACTGCCACAATGATTTCTGATTCTCTGAGCCAAAAGGGAAATGTTTAATTTGGTTGAATTTAAAGTCGCTCTTCGCCTCAAAATGTGTTTTACTTCACTTGGATGTTTGAGCTTCAGTGTGCAGAGTCTGTTTTCACATTCATCTGTTGACGCGGGAGAGTTTCTGTGTTCTCACCTGGATTTTGTGTTTGGAAGCCGGTCGTTTGTCCGGCATGAAACTTGCACAAGTTTGATGTGGAGACTTTACGCTTCCAGGTCACGTCTACTGAGAAGTCGGAGACGTCTTGTGTCCAGCAGTTAAAATAGATTCTAGATTCAGGATTTTTAACGAGGTAGAAGAAGCAGATTTAATTATAAGAGTTAAACATGTCCCGAGGGATTTCTTTAAACACAATTCCATAAACAGGCCGACCTCGCCTGCCTCATTATTGATTAAAGGTCCGTTCAACCAAAGTTGCCTGTTGCAACATGAGCTCATTACCCCTCATTTTGACATGTTTCGTGAAACGAGGTCGGAGTAGAGGCGTCCAAGCAGTTTGCCTGTGCCTTCTAAAAACCTGTTTGTCAGTCCACGCTAAAGGTCTTTCACACACAATCAGTGACCACGAATCTTTGAACTGAATGAAACGATTTGACGCCCGATTTCCGCCACAGACCTGAACTTGATTTGCGTGAACTAGTTTTCCTGCCAAAATCCGATGAGACTGAATATAATTTGGTTTTGGTTAACAGACTTGTCACCGAGGTTACAATTAAGAAAAATCAAACAGTTATCATATCAATCATACTGCAACTTAACCGATGGTTGTTATTATTTGTTAGCTGAACTGAGCAGAGCAGAAGGTCTTTATTTGTGTGTGTCTTGTATTTGATCATGAGGATCCTCTGTTTTTTTTTAAACACAGTACAACTAGTCTGTCATAAAGTGAAGGAAGGTATTTCATGATGACTTATTCTTCCTCTATATTGTTTAGGTGAAGAGGCAGGGAGACCTGCTGGCAGACAACAAACTTGAATAAATGTTTCTCCGTCGTGGAGGAAGCATGTTCAGTCTCCAGCTCTTCGTCATCGGCATCCTCCCTCGGAGCTGGATGCAGCGCGGATAACGTTTTCAGACGTATGTTGTTTCTTCGTAGACATAAAAAAAAAAAGAAAAGATCGCAGCTGTTGCCGTGACAGAAAACAAATTCCACTGCGCTAAATTAGCGATGAGCTGTGTGATTCGTGTGTGTGTGTGTGTTGCACCCCGGCCGGCTTAATGAGAACAGAACAGGCCCAACAACATCACTTAGCTAAAATTAGCTGGAGAGGCCTCGGGGAGGGGGAGGGGGAGGGGTAGGAGGGGGAGGGGGAGCCAGATTTTGCTGATGCAGAGGTTTCCTCACCCTGCTGCCGCTCACCAGCGCCGTCACAACCTTCGGCTGCAGCTGACGGATCACTGGGACGGACCGCAGGAGTTTGGTTTGTAGTCGCTAACATTTAAACTCAAGACTCCGCCATTTCAATTAAGTGTGTGTGTGTGTGTGTGTGTGTGTGTG